GGGGGGAGTGGAAGTCAGGGCAGCCACTTCATCTGCCTGAGTCTCAAGTTCTTTGGTTATAATTTGAAATAAAATCTCTCCAGCCTCCTCATCAGGTTATAGGGGAAAGCACTTTATAATCTTCAGAAAGTTATACAAATGTCAGATGCCGTGAGTTAAAGCTGCTACCTTTAAAATGACTTCTATGTCATGTGCAATAGAAATGTACATTTATTATGAATGACGTTAAAGACATGTTGTGAAGGACGTGCTGCTTCGTTGTGAACTTCTCTTCCCTGTGCCAAAATGATATGCACTTTTCTTCCAACACTCGGTGCCCTGCAGGTGGGTTTGTTCTTTGGGTCTTGCTTGTTCTCACCCTGTTCTACTCTATTATTTCATCCCTCCCTCACATATAGGGGCCCTCCTTGTCCAATTTTCAGCCTCTTTTAGTGACTATGCTGGGAGAAGGATGACTTGGTGACCTCCCCTCCTACACGCTCATTATACGTGAGAAGTGCTGTGGAAAAGCAAACGCTGAGTCCTCGCCTCTGCCCTTCTCCCCGTGACCTGCCAATCACCAAGCACTATTGAATGTGTCAGTCCTTCCACATGGGACCTTTTATTCCCACTCCTGAATCACAGAAGTATTCAGCGAACTGGACTCTTCCCTAACTTATGGGTTCCCACCCCCTTCCCTCTTGCCTACCCAATATTTCCTCCACTCAGCATGCTGGCAGTCTTAACAAAACCAATGTCTGTGTACATTAATTTCCTCCTTCAATCCTGAATGGCACCCAGCCTCCTGGAGGAAAGCCCTATCCTGTCTAGACCTGATAAATAAGGCTCTCTAGATCTGATGCCTGTTCAGCTCTCCAATGTTCCCACTCATACTTGCACTCAGTAGTGCTGATCTATTCCCAGTTCCCAAATGCACCATCCTCCCTTTTGCAAGCTCTGCGTTTTTTTCATGACTCTATGATTACCTTTCCTCTACTCCTTTCTATCTAGGAAATTCCTGTTCACCCTTTAAAACTCTGCTCCAGAGTCACCCGCTCTTTCCTGTCTCTTTCAGCTCTCCCCAGAGGTAAACTACCATATCCAGCAGTACATACTGTCATGATTGCACACATTACACCGAGTTAGAATAATTTGTTTCTCCTTCTGGACTGTGAGCTTCTTGAGGGAATGGATCATGTCTCATTCATCTTTGAATCTACAGGAGCTGGCAGAGTGTCAAATTATAGCTACAGTATAAATATTTCTGAAGTAAATGAATGGATGGATTCATTTCATAAGTGAAAACAGCACACACCCTGTGTAATTCGCGGGGCTGAGCGCTAGTGAAAGAAACATCTGACCGGGCTCGTCGTTTTTCTGTCCTTGTTCGTTCTTTGTGCTCTTTGGACATGTACGCGACCCTCTGGTAAATTCTGAGTTAAGCGCCGTGTCGACAGGAAGGAGCAATAGGAACTGACCAAATTAAGCCTGTTGGTGAGTCACACACCTGGTGACTTTAGTATGATCCCAGATGGGTTCTCTTCCCCCTCACCTCCTCCGTGTGACTTTGAGCACTTATTGTTATACTGAAATTCATGACAAAGCCGAGCTTCTTGACAATTTCAGGAGTAAAATGGCTCTCAGTAAAAGCGCCCCGTCCTTCCCCTCCGGAAAGCTATGCTCAGCTCTCTTTCTAAAGCAAGGAGAATGGAGTCAGGCGTGGTGTCTCTCAAGTCCCATTGGTCAGCGTTAAATTGGAAAGTGAGGAGCTCTCAGTGATGCTGCTTATCTCTCTGATTTCTGAGCTTCACTTTGTCCACGAGTCCCTGTATGGAATCAGCGTAAGCTGTAAGCTAGCCTCCCCTATTTCTTCCTATTATGACTGGAGAATACATGAACATTCTCCATTTTATCTAACGGTGCTGCTTCCCGGGAAACTTTGTGGGTAAAACGAGAGATGTGCTATTTTTCCTCTTGTATTTGTAATTATATTCCAGGCTTTCCATTATTTCACACCACTGAGTTTTTTCTTTCTTTTCCTCATAAGGTACCCATTTTACTTAGAAGGGAGAATTAATACCTATTGTGTCACTAATGACGGTTCTTTTATGAGTTAATAGCCAAAAACAGGCATGAATAGACCAGAAGGTGACAGCAGTGGTCTGTGTGTATTTCACCTTCTGTTTCAGGGGACAAGATTTTGCTTTAAAATGCATAGTCCTATATTATAAAATATATATATAAATTGGTTTCTCTCATGTCAAATTAATCTCTGAAACTAACAGAATTGGAATTTCACTCTTCTGGAAGTGAGTTTTTTTTATTTAGAATTTCTTTCTTTTTTTTTTTTTAGTTTTTTTTGGGGGGCGGAGGGAGTTAATTAGGTTTATTTACTTATTTATGTTAATTTTTTTTGATGGAGGTACTGTGTGAGTCAGTTTTGGAAAATATAATTAAAAATCCATTTCAAGGAAAGAAAATTTTTTTCTTTCCTCTCTCCTTCCTCTTTCTTTTCTGTTTTATTCATTTGGTCAGTAAGTACTACCTGGACATAGTATTTGTTGATTGGATTTGGCCAGACACTGTGAAGAATTTAAAATTTTCTAAGTCACTGCCCCTAAACACCTCACAGAGACATACAAAAAGTCACCTAGAAAAAGAGATGTCAGGGACGGTACCAAGTGTGTAGTACAGGCAGTAAGCGCCTCGAGTTCACAAGCCAGTCTTCACCTCCCTGACGTTTTCAGTCAGAGCTTTCCGACCTGCCATCCTTGTGATTTATTTTTGATGGTTCTTTTCATCTCATTGCAACATACAGACAGATGCAGGAACATCTGGTCCTATCCCCTACCTCTCTGTTCCCTCAACTCTACCTCTGAGCAAAAAGATCAGCTATGCCTTCTGTTTACCATGCCTGGATCAAAACGTAATGAGAATATATATATATATATATATATATATATATATATATATATATATATATATATGTAAATATGATATGAAAGAAAACTTTTAAAGTTTAACTAGATATAACAAAAAAGTCAACTCCATCAAAACACTTAATATTTAGCCCAAACCCTCTATTGAGCTAAGCAGCTTTTCCATAAACTTTCTCATTATTTTCTTTTTCTTCGAGTCAAATTTTAATTTTTTAATCCTTTCTTTATTCTCTGTTTTAACTGTTGGCATTTTCATAGTATTTTTGAAATAGTTCCTTTGCAGACAATAGTGTGATTAAGTAGGGCGATGGAAAGCTAAGCACCTGGCAGGATACTTTTGTGGTTATTTGTGAGTTAAAAAAATCAAAATGTTATACCCCCTTCAACAACTACAACAACATTATATATGGAAAATATGTACAAGCATTTAAGTTAGTCAAAGGAAAGCTATTCTTTTTTTTAAATATGCAGTTTTAAATAGTTTGTGGCATAATTACAGCAAATGTGTTTACAGGGGAATGACTGTTTGCCTCACTAGCAAGAGGCTAATACACGTTCTCACCATTTTGTCTCATAGAATGATTGAAGATAGTGGGAAAAGAGGAAATACCATGGCAGAAAGAAGACAGCTGTTTGCAGAGATGAGTAAGTACAGAAATGCCCATTGAGTACTCGCAAAAAAGCTGGAAATAGCAACTCACTCCTTATGGCATTTGTACTTTGCCTTAAAATCCCAAATTCGTTACATAAAATGTACATTTGGGCATTCTTGCCTCCTTTTAGGTAAGAATTAAATTATTCAGTGAATCACCGTAATTTGTTATTTGGACTGTATGTCTTATATGAAAGAAAAGGGTTCGCGGAACCTAAATGTGTACATACACACACGGACACTTAGTAAACACCATTTAACACTTCAAAGTCTCTTGTCATCTCCCTGCACTACCACAGTGCCTGGCACATCGTAGGCACTAGATAAAATTTTTTGAATGAATCATTGAATGTCCTCCCTGTAAAGTGATGTCATGTGTTCATATGGCAAAGAGCAATCCGGTGTGAGAAGCAAGCCAAACTATAAGCTGTCACTTGAACTTCATGCAGAGGGGGAGAATCTGCCCTGCAAACTAGCTTCTAAAAAGTGAAAAGGAAAACAAAAGTTTAACAGAGCTTGGAGGTGACCTGCTATACGAGGAAAACCAAACCAAGATTCTATTTATTGACTCCAACGGAGAGCTCATTAAATAAAGGTTGTTGGTTTATGTAAATGTGAGGTTGCTGTGTAAGTAATTGGGTGGTCGGTTCTCCTTACAGACATTTTTCTTATTCATGAGGAGGAAGAACTTGACATTGGGGGAGAAACACACATCTCAAATTCAATGTTATGAAGGAAAAAGTACGATTCTCATATTGTCTTTTTATCTCTCCTTCCCTGCGAAAGGAAGGAAGATGAACAGGAGTGAGATGTAAGCCTTTCACTCTGAGAAGGCAAGAGACAAAATTAGGTTTCTACTGAAGATTGGAACTGATAGGCAAGAAGGAGGGTCGGAGCAGATAAAGGAAAACCCCAGATAATACGATTCACAGTTTCCTTTATCATTTCCCAATAATCTAGAGGCACCAAGGCAGCGTTAGAACTAACAAAGAGGAAAGAAAATTAAAATTGATGTGAGGAACCTCAATCATGCTCCTTGCGTTTTCCACTTTTAGAAACATGTCTGAAGTGCCTGTGAGAGTTTCAGCCATGACCTTCCAATTTCCTAGGCCATGTCTGGCCCTGTAGCTTCGCTTCTGGCCAGACTGCTCACCTGGAAGTGTTGCCTTTGTTGAGACAGATCTAACAGAGGAAGGAACCTAATTACCTCCTGCCCAGCTAACCAAGGCTCAAAGCAGCCCAGGTCTCTTCCCATACCTAGATTCTTAGACTGAAAAGCCAACCGTCATGTTTATCACAGGCCAGCGTTTTGTCAGAGGAGGAAAAAATATATTAATATTTAGCATAAAAAAGCAATAAAATCTTAGGAGAAATCTTTGACTTCATCAAAGCCTGAATCAGCCAACAGACTGTAAGAATTCTAAAAATGGGCTTAGGTAGTGATTTTGTAAACATGTGTCTGAATTTGAGTACATTGTCCCAGCTTCTTCTGCACTTGGTGCAAAATTGACACAGACAAAATACAGGTGTCACAAATGTCTTGGGAATGAAATCTGTCCAACTCAAAGGAAGAGCAATGTAAGTTTTATAGCCATAGAAACAGAAAAGCTCTAACGTTTTCAAGGGAGAGTGACTTAGGAAAAGGGTGCCTTCATTTCCCAAAAAGGAACTTAACCTTTTCATGGAAACTTTTCAGGGAGGTCATGCAGCTTATTAAATCATTTTGAGTTCTCCTGATTAGTGGTCAGAATAGGTAAGCAAGCCACACAGATATGTGTCTTTCTTCCTTTCTTCCCTTCTTCCAAACCAAGTAAACACATCTGACCTTGACAATCCATTAGTGAGCAATCGTGTTAGGACTCACGCTGAACCGGGCGTGTCCACAGTAAGGGAACCCTGCCAGATAAAACAATTGGCTGATTTCAAAGGAAGAAACTGACTTTGATTAACTGTCATACGAAAGAAAAAGGTAATCTCATAAAAAGAACGTGTTAAATATTTTAAAAATATATGGGTCACCCCAGCTCTATCAGCACCGAAGAAAGACAAGGAAACTGTTACCAGAGAAGACTGACATCGAAACTTGGAAAGTCATTTCTTCCAGGAGTCTGGGATGTCTGGACAGGGAGCTGGAAACGTAGGAGGAACTTGTAAATCTGGTCAGCTAAGTATTACCTAGAAGTAGTGCTTTTTTTAAACATCGAAGGAAAGTGCCAAAAAGATCATTTGTTTTGGAAATTACAAATGTCAAAGAAAAATGCCATGTGAAGGCATTAAAAAGGCAGGGAAGACGTTATTCAAGACTGTTGGGAGAGGGGAGAGAGATTGAACTCACCTCTGCTGGAACAAAAGTCGGGAGGGATTTTAAGCACTGGGGTGAGCTAGAGCAAAGTGCTGAAGGATATCAGACGGGAAGTTGGTGAACCGTGTTAACCAGTTGTCACGATTAGGAAGTTAGGCTCCTAGCCTCCCACAGAGACTAGGAGGCTGCCTTCAGTAATTACATTTCCCAGGAATGGCTCCCAGTCCTTGAGAAAGATTCCTGGGTTGTGAAACTGGCGAAAGGCTGGGAGATTTTACATCTTTAAAGGGGCAAAGAATTTACAAAGGCAAGTGTTCTAATGTAAGTGTTCTAAGAAAAGGGAGGCTGAAGACCTAGAGTCAGGAGAAACCTGTCTAAAGCTTAGTCACGCTGAGTGGAGAACACACAGAACACAGAAGGACAATTGTTGGGAAATTTTGGCTAATTCAGGTGATTTCAGTACATGTATGTGTTAAACATCTACTCTGAGCTCAGAACCACAAGCAGCGGAAGCCAAATAAACAAAAAAGGCAAAGAAACAAAATTAAGAAGCATGGACTCACGAATCAGCCAAAAAGAACGAAACAGAACAAGAAAACCTCTGTGGCCGCATACCTTGATTAAAGAAATTTGCGGCAAGTTGCCCTCAGCCAAAAATTCCCCCCCCGGGTATAATGCACTAATTATCAATTTATTTGGTACCTTCAATTAAAGCTGAAAAGACCCCTCACCTTGCCCTTTTCAGTCATCAAAGTTTGTCAGCTCAGGTAAGTCTATCAGACTGGCTTTCAGCAGAACAAATAGTTTGTTCTCGGACTCAAGCTCGCTGTCTTCTCTGTTTTTCTGCTCGGCGCACATCTCCTCCGCTTTGTGTGGCACTTACTTGTGGACGTGTCCGTGTCAGTCACTCACAGGAACTCCTCCTGACAGACAGACCCTACCTCCCTCTTCAAACCCATTCACCTGAGATGCTGAATTCACGTGGCTTTAAAAGCCTCAGGGCACAGGAGAGGTCAGTTTGAACGGAAGGAAAGTGACTGGAAAACTCTGTCAGAGCATAGAAGGCTGCCTAAGAAGATGAAGAAGGTCGTGTGGAGAAAGCAGAGTGAGGAGGGACCGGAAATCAAAGGGAGGCAAATGGAGGTCCTCAACAAACACTTGCTGAATGGTTCCAAGGCAGACAGCCCCCCAGAATGCTGAGCGCAGTCAGCATGTGCGTAGTTGGAATGGCGCCTAGAACATGATTTTGCAATGCACACGATGAGTTGCAAGAAAACAGATTTCAAAAATTCAGGGAAATGGCATGAGTGGCCGCACCCTCAGGCCATGGTGGATCCAGGTTCTGTTATCACTCGCATCTCCCTTCTTCATGGTCTTCAGCATCTTTAAGATGTCCACAACGTGGGTCACCATCCTGGAAATTCTCCCTTATGTCACCACCGGGGTCCGGTTTCCTGCTGTTTCTGACCACCTTACTTCTCTTTTTCTGTCTCTTGGTAGCTTCCAAACCCCCTGGAAGCCAGATTTTAACCAAAGTTTTATTCCTGAGCGATTTTCTCCCTTTACAATTTGACTTTTTCTCAAGGCTTCACCTTTATGGTTGTGGCTCTCAAGTGTTCAAGGAGTCCTTCAAAGCCACTTCCCGTGGTCTCGTGAACCAGCTGATTCAGGATCTTTGGCATGTTAAGTCAGTGTCCCTTCCAGACTTGCCTCCTCGCTGTCAAAGCTTCTGCTGAGAAAGCAGCTTGAGGTGGACCCAGCATTAGCCCCACCGACTGCCGTCATAACACAGCTAGTGTCCAGCCAAGCCTGCTGCCTTCCAGTATTTCCACAGAAGACATGCAGCTACTCTCAAGGCCGACTATGAATGTACAGACTTTCAAGAAGAGACCACACATGTAAAACTGAATTAAGATCATGATTTCTTGGGCCAGAGACAAAGAAACTTATTTTAAACAAGATGAATAAGTCGAGCAAGAGCCTGCGTGGCCCATCTCAGCTCAGCTTTTTTTTTTTTTTTTTTTTGGTCCCAGAACTCATTAGGGATTCCGTAGTGGCTACTTAAGGTTGTCCATACGGGCAGTGCACTGCTGTATCTGGAAAGCTAAACTTCATTGCTCTCCACTTCCCTTTTTATGTTCAGGGGTTTTATCCTCTGCCAGGAAGAACTTTCACAAATAGGAAATATCAACAGACCTCCAGACCCTGTCCTGGTGCTTGAACAGAGCAGAGGGTCAGTTCAGTCCACACGGTCAACGAGCAGAGGAGAGCAGTCAGTGCGCTCCTGACCCTAACCATCATTTCTATGTCCCTCTTTACTGCATCCCGGAGAAGTACATCTTGGCCAAATGCCCCCTAGGACCTCTAGAAGAGGGAGGAGCAGAGAATTCACGCTTTCTGTTCTCAGAGAATGAGGTCCGGCTGAAACTGAGAAAAGTTAATTGTATGCTGCATCACAGTTCTTTTAGACCTGGGGCTTAAACCATTACTGTCAAAGTCTTACACAAATTATCTGTGGTCCCTAAAATCTTCTTTTAAAGGGTCATTTACAGATGTTGAGACTCTCCTGATGATTGAGCCAAACTCAGCATCATTCAAACTGCATCCTCATCGGGCGGAAAAGGTGGATTTAGCATTCGTGTGTTTCTGATGGTCTCTGTGTCTCTGGTAATCAGGCACCCTGGAGAGCTCATTTCCCACATGGCCTCTCAGGTTGGCAGAGGACATGAAACTGAGAAGGTCCTTTGAAATGCCAGTGACAAGATCCAAATTGTTTAAAATACCAGGAAGCTTAGAGGCATGATCTAAAAAGTAAAAGAAACTAACCAAATTAAAAAATCCTACTTTTAGCATCCCAGTAGGCATTTAAATGGAAAATAGAAAAGGTTTGACTTAATATAAGTGCATCTGGTTTTTAAAACCAGCTTTATAATGAACTACAAGCTTAATAAGAATCAGGAGAATGAGCCAGCTCTGGAAAAAATTGCATCAGTAAGTGTCCTTATCAATGGTGGTTAAAATTACTTTCTCTGCATTCTATACAGGTGAGGCCATAGCTGTGGCTTTTGGGCTAATTTTGTGTATCACATTTCAAGCAGATAATAGCCAGCCATAGACCAGGATCTCTCAAAACCCTGTCTGATGATAAGAATAGTAGTCGTAGCAACGTCCATGGACTGAAGCCCACTGTGTGCATGCTCTGTGGTAGACATTGTCCTTGAAATGGCTTTGGAGTTGGACGTCTTCAGCCTAACAAAGTCAAAGAGAAGTGACCTTCTCATTGGACATTAAACTCCGTGATGGCAGGGACCTTGGTGCTTAATCTTTGGATAGTGATGAAGATGCTAATAATGATCCCAACAGCTGCTCCCCAATCTTTAAGAAACAAATTATCAACTGGCAGGGAAAAAAGATTATGTGGCTCCAGAAGGGAAACCAGATCCATGGATTGAAGTTGCAGGGAAGCAATTTTTTTTCAGGGGGGCAATTAGGTTTATTTATTTATTTTAGGGGAGGTACTGGGGATTGAACCCAGGACCTCATGCATGCTAAGCATGCGCTCTACCACTGAGCTGTACCTGCCCCCAAGGGAAGCAAATTAAAGCCCAGAGATATAAAAGAAATTTCTATCACTTAGTGTTCCACAAAAATGGCCCCGGAAACCTTTGAAGGAGGCCCACCTGCTATTAAGTGCTCACTGGGTACCAGCTACAGAGGTTACCAGCTGATGAGATTGGTACGGTTATCCGCATTTTACACATAAAGGAATCGGGGGAGGGCACAGCTCAGTGGTAGAGCGCATGCTCAGCATGCACGGGGCTGTGGGTTCGATCCCCAGTCCCTCCATTAAATAAATAATGATGATTAATAAATACAGAAACCTAATTACCTCCCCTCCACCACCGCAAAATAAAAAGACATCAGACCCAAAGTAAAAACTTGTCAGAGTTCTCACAACTACGAGGTGAAAGGTTAATGTTTACTGACTTGAAAGCTCGTGTATTTTCCCTAAGTTATAATCATCCCTGTGAATGGAAATAATCTCACAGGATGGCCGTTGACTAAATGTCCACCTGTTAAGAACGTGTTGAGGCAAATTCCTGCATTGGGTGAGGTCCTACCTCTTTGATCCTTCAAGTGCTCGGTATCAATGAACCTGTTTGTCAAGTAATAAACTCTCATAAGAATGAATGTTTAATGATCTGCCTCATAAAACCATAAAGTAATAGGAGTATTGAAAGTATTTTTAAATAAATCTAAAGAGATTAGCTTGAGTTGAGAGATTGATAGATGCACTCAGTGAGGGACACTTGCTAACTGATCTTGGGTTTCACTAGGAAAGCACTTAACTGGCCTCCTAATGTTACTATATCAAGGCCTGTTCATGTACTTGCTACCCTGATTCTATTCTGAAGCATCTCTGCAGCGCCTTTCCTGGTAAAGAGAAAGTTTGATACATGTCAAAATACAGCTATGTGCCTTCCTGTCTGTTGGGAATCATAAACACGGGCTTGAAGAAAGCCAAATATTTAGAAGCAGAGAAGAACAGACATTTGCTGAAAGCTTATTACGTTCCAGACACAGTCTAGAGGTGAGCCCGTTCAGAGGAGGGGGCGAGCATCACCAGGACATCGGGTGTGGATGTGACAAGCGGCCCACCGGGGAGGGGCTGCGAGGCCTGAGTCTGGCAGAGGTTCCAGGGCAGAGAGCGGTGCGGAGTATTGTAGGGGAGGTGGGAGGGCAAGAGCCTGCGGAGGGCTCGGATTCTGAGCGGAACATTCAGACCTGATGCCGTGGGCGGCAAAAGCCACGCTGGATTCAAGAGTAGATGAGTGGATTGAGGAAAGTAGTCAAGAATATGCGGAACGTGTTCCTCCATGTGAGGAGGGGGAGGCCACAGCGTCAGAAAGAACAGTGGTTCTTTTTAGAAAGGACTCTCCTCTGAGGGTGACTGGAAGCTTTGCAGGATAGACACGAGTCGTAATAATGAGCACTTATGTTCCCAGCCAGGGTTCTTGGTCTCCTTAATCAATAGAAATTGATAAGAGGCCAGATGAGAAATTCAGGCAAGGCTTTTCTGGGACTTGCGCTGCAGCAGGAGGGAGCGAAAACAAGTAACAGGTGCCCCGCTCCCTCTCTAAGTGGAGGGGCGAACTGGTCCCTTAAATAGGGTGGGGGTAGGGACAGGTCCAGGGGTCGGGCTGGAGGGGTGGCTTAGGTGGTCAGCCCACCGCCTTGCTGGTCCTGTGGTCCTGTGTGCAGGGGTCACGTACAGTCCCTGCTTCTGCTCCTGACATCTCGAAAGTGGCAGTTGGGTTTTTGGTTATTTTGTATCTTGTTGTTCATAACTCACCTGACTGCAGGAGCCACAGTTATATTCAGTCCCTTATAGTAGTTTCTTTGTATTTTGTTGTTCAAGGAGACATCTGTCCCAGCGCAAGCATTGCAGCCCAGGGTCCCAGGACCCAGCCTGGCTCACTTCTATAGCACTGACTGTGTGCCAGGCAGTGTTCCCAGCATGTTAGGTTATAGTCACTCATTTATCCTGACAACAACCCTGTGAAATAAGCAGTAGTATTATCATCAGACCCATCTTCCAGATGAAAAAACTGAGGCTTCTAAAAGCAACTGGCCTAAGATCACTAAGAAAAGATGCCCAGCATTCAACCTGCATGCACCTCACAGCCATGGTCTAATGACCCATCAGAGTGCATTTAAAATGATGATTTGGTGAGATTACTACCTGGTTTCATCTAGCTGTTGAAGTCACAGCTGGAGCCGACTGTTCTCAGAAGTGGCAGACACCACAGGGCTGAGTTGGTGTCCCTTGGCCAGTAAACATAGCTGACAACCTGGCGTCCCGTGTTGGCTCCACGTGCTCTCTTCCCCCAGGGCCTGAGGAGGACGGGACAGACCTTCTCAAGTCTTCCTGTTAAACTTCTATCCTAATAAAAATAAAAATTAAATCGTGTAGGTTAAATCCATGGCTGTTTTATGTATACACATTATCACACGCACGGCATACCATATGTGTGCGTTTTTCTTCCCCTCAGGGGCTCAAGATCTGGATCGTATCCGACTCTCCACCTACAGAACAGCATGCAAGCTTAGGTTTGTTCAGAAGAAATGCAATTGTAAGTATACCATTTGTCTGGACTAATCACCTTCATGAATCCTATAGTTTACATTTGTTGCTTTGTTTATGAAAAGTAGGCTCTCTTGCAAGTATAGATAAAAACATGTTTACACAACAATAAAAGGAGTACTGTGGTACACAAATGGTAGAAAGGCTGTTCCTAAGTCATCTGGAGGCTTAATTACTCCACTGCCGAAGTATTGGAATAGATGAGCCATAGTGTATAAAATCCTGCCCTTGGAATAGTTTAAATCTGCATGGATGTTTTTCTTCCATTTGCTAGCTTTGGTATTGTAAACGCAGCGCCATCGAAGTGGTTTCCAAAAACTTTATAAAATATCAAACATTAAGTCCTCTTTATATTTATATTTCCTTTACAAATATAGGAAAATGTTTATAAGTTCCTGGGAAACATCTAAGTTTCTTTCAGAAACTACAAAAATTAGCCCTTTGTATTAGAGGATTAACTACTTTTGCCTCCATCAGACAATGGCAAGAGAAGAGACAAGACTTAAAGGAACAGAGAAACTGGCTTCAGCTCTTCCCCTGATTTTTTCATGTAAGCAGCAAGCTAGGTCCAGGGTCAAGACTCACAGTGAGCAGGTTCCCATTCCCTGCCTGTCGGTCAGTGCTTCCATCACATTATCGCATCCCTTTTCTCCTGGGGAAAAAAAAATATTGCTTCAGACTTCATGTATACGAACTTACCCTTTTCTTTTGTGAAAACTGACTGCTATAAAAAATTACTAACTTTGTTCTCATTTTCTAATTAGTATTGGACGAATGAAAACATGAAAACCAGAATATTCTCTTGAATACATAGACACGGTTCTTGACTCTGTGGCACGGGGATTGGACACATGTCCACATCTCCACCCTCCCAGAGTCTCCGGCAGATGCTTCCAGGGGCCCTGAGCAGACTGCCCCTCCCCCAACCCTTCCCGCGCCCCTTCCCCCACCCCCGACCCCAGGGCTCCTTGGTTTGCAGCTGACAACAACTATGAGGAAGGGCAGGGTGCATCTACTCCTCAAGCTGCAGCTTATTCTCCAGGCCCAGTGGCTAGAAATGGGGCTAAAATTTGGGGCAGGACAAGAAGGGAGAAAAAACATGGGTTGGTCAGATATCAAAGATGGGCTTTGACTCCTCATAGGATCTAAACCAAACCCTCCAAAACAATGAGAAAAACTCTACTAATGTGGGAAAGAATCTGTCCTTTTCCTCAGAGTCCTGGGCATTTATAAATCATAAAAGCCCCTTCCAGGACTAGGTTAAAGGACCAGGAAAATGTTCCCACGGAAGAAAAGCTTCCCCTCCCCCCTCCCCCCATCACCATGTTCAAACAAAGGGGAGAATCTCCGTGTTTTCAGCAATAAAAAAAGTGCTGGGATCCTCCCACTTTCTTTCCCCATTACCACTCCAGTGGCCCTCAAAATAGAGGCTGGGGGAGAGGCATTAGGGATGGGAGTGCCATCCCCTTAAAACCTGGCCACCAGAGCCCTCCTTAGGCTGCTTTCAGTAGGGATGGGGAATTTTGCAGATACACACTACTGTATATAAAATGAACAACAAGGTCCTGCTGCATAGCACAGGGAGCTGTATCCAATAGCTGGCATGGGAAAGAGCACGGAAAGGAACATATGCACGTATACTGACTCACTCTGCTGTACACCAGAAATTAACACAGCATCATAAACTGACTACCCCCCAATAAAAAAAGAAATGTAAAGGAGGGGAGGGTAACAGCTCAGCGGTAGAGTGCATGCTCAGCACGCACGAGGTCCTGGGTTCAATCCTCAGCACCTCCATTTAAAAATAAATAAATAAACAAATAAACCTAATACCCCCCCCCCAAAAAAAGGAAATGAAAAAAAAAGACATTACAGAATGGCAAGGATGAACCCAAAAATAAATAATAAGGAAAATAAAGGAAAGAAGAAAGGAAGGGAGGGAGGGAGGGAGGAAGGGGAAAGGAAAAGAAAGGAAAAAGACCCACGTTGATTTGGCAACTGGCAGCCAAAGTTACAAAGGGCACACACTGTTAGCCACATCCCCTTCCTCCTACTCTCTGCCCAAGGCCCTCTCTCATTCTTGAGCGCCTCCTTTTCCTTTTCCTGTTCTTTTCTGGCCCTCGTCCTTATCCTACATCCAGAATCATGTCAGAGTCTCATTGACCCTATTGGAAAACAGTGGGGAAGACAGTGACTTTCTTGGAAAGCAGTATTGATCCATCCCTGGGTGAGAATAGAACCTTCACACCTGTCCAGTTGCCCCTCAAGACATCCGTTCATTTACCCCTTAATTTAGCAAGTGAATAGTGAGCTCCTGCTATAGGTCTGGTTCTGCGCTGGGTACCAAGGATAGAGCAATAATAGTGAATAAGATGTGATCCCTGCCTTCAAGTTGACCAACGCCTAATTGGGTAGAAAGAGTCCTAAAGAGCCGTATCGAACAGTGTGGAGGTGTAATGACAGAAGTAAGGGAAGTGGGGGGTGGTGGTGGCCAGGAGGGCAGTGCCTTGACCTGGGTATGGGGGCTGCTATCAGGAGCTTCCTGGAGAGGGAGATATCTGGGCTGAATCTTAAAGAATGAGTAGACATTACACAGAGAAGTGTTGTTTGCTATACAATGTACGTTATAAACATCATACATTTTAGAAAAAGGTATCACATTCGTTACAAACTAGACAAAACTAGGGCTCGAGGCAGGAAAAAGAGGCGTATTTTGAAAGCTCTGCTAAAATTAAGTTTCATTTTAGGGGAGGGAAATAGCTCAGTGGTAGAGCTCATGCTTAGCATGCATAAGGTCCTGGGTTCAATCCTCAGTACCGCCGTTTAAAAAAAAAAAAAGTTTCATTTTAAAACTGTATCTACTTTGATCAGAAGCCTTCAATGCAAGTAACTCTATGTAATTTGGTGAGTTTTCCTTACTGACAAAAAAATAATGTGACAGTTGTGATGTTGAGATACTTGCAAAATGTTCCCACAATTGACCCTGGTTCATCTTAATCAAAGTTGAAGTCTTCCTTTTAGGAAGATAACCAGAAGCACTGGTGTTTGTGACATAACATTAATCAGTATTGAATATGCACCCCTGTATTAGAGGGGGCAATTTTTGTCTGCAATAAAACCTAACCCACAATAAGTTATGATAGTGGAGTTTTACTCCACAATCAAAGAAATAAGAAAAAACCCAGGTGGTGTTTGTGAGTGGGCTGCTTTTTTGGAAACTCCTGTTACGTACTATTTACTTCATGGAAATCAGCGGACCTTAACTGAGAACAGGTTGTTCATTTTTAGGTTCAGACCTTATTTACAGGTAAAATTTATTTTTTATATTAACAAAAGCTTAAAAACCACATAATGGAAGAAAAAACATAAAAGCTGGTACTTGTAAACTTATCACCTAGGAAAAAATAAATGTTGGCTGGATATAGCATGGAGTGTGTAGATTTTCAGGAGATTTCTTTTTTTGTCTAAATTCAAGGACCAATAGTGTTAGTTAATATTTCCTGTATTTCCTTCCCCACCCGCCTTGCCTTCCTCGGTTTCTAGACCATTGATTCCTACCACTGACAATTCATATTCATTCCTTGCAAGGCAGCTCCTAATGGATGCTGAGAATAACTCTTTCCCAGTGCTCTAAAAGCTCTTAAGAAGAAGCCAGAAAACTGTGGCCTGTTAACTGAATGTAGCCCAGAATCTATCTTGAATAGACTGTGAACTAAGAGTAGTTTCCACAGATGAGCACTTGTGTCCTTTTTGATAATGGGGAACAGTAACTTGTAACCCCACTTAAGCAAAACATTATCTCTCCCTAAATAATTCCTTTCTTCTCGTTGGTCGATGTGCTTCAAAAAAAAAAAGGATGCAATTATTATATGTTTAACTTCGTAAGTAAAAATGTTGTGGAAAGTTGTTTTCTCTACCTAATATCTATATAATATTACTATATAACATGGTGATGCCTGTAGGTATATGAAAAACATTTCCCAGCCTCTGCTAGAAGAGTTGAAGAAGTCTATCTCTTTTTTTTTCTTTTTTTAGGCAAGAAATTCTTCCTTCAACTTTTCTCCATAGGATCTTTTTCCAAATCAGCTTCTTCCCCTTACACCCATCTTTGTACCCGCCGACACCCTCCCTCCCCATGCCACGACTAGCACATTCTCTACTAGAATAAAGGAACGAATGTCTCTAAAAATTAGGGCACGACACGTTGGCTAGTTTATTTTCTAGGAGGAATGGGACAGACCGGAGAGTATGAATAATATTTCCAATACCCCTTCTTAATCATCAGCCTTCCCGTTAGCTTCCAGGAGCCCTGGTAACTTTGCACAAAATAAGTACCCTATAAACCGTTCATAAGCATGTGTGGAAATAGCAACATCTCAGCCTTTATTTTGAACAAATAGCCGTTTCCTATTAGAACATTATTTCCTCGGTCAGCATTGACATGGTTAATGACCCAGATACCCCGTTATGTCAGCAGATCCTTTTTTCAGAAATCACTTTGGAGTCAGTGAAACGCAACCTTAAGTTCATCAACAACAAAAGGTGACAAGAAATAAATCAGAAACCTCGAATCCCTGCTGTTTAATGTGGGAACAAAAAAATAAGGAGCCAAGGCGATCCTCTCCCCCACACCCACCGCTGGCATTACACCATCTTTAGATCTTCTGGTTACAGTCTGAATTTTCTTTCTATCACTCATATTGATTAAAATTGCATTTAAAAGAAAAAGAGGACAAAAGGTCTACGTGTGCATCTGTAGTTTCAGAGTTTTTCCAACTATCTTTCCTCTAGTAAATGAAACATTTTTTTTCAAGTATCCTTCACCCAGGTACAATTTCAAGTTAGACTACACACTTTTGTCTGTAATATCTCTAAACTTTTTTTCAGTTGTCAACATTTATTTAAATGACGGTAACTTGACATTATTTAGGATAAAGTGAATAATTTAAAATCTGCAATTTAAGAGTAATCATTATATGTTACTTTTCTTCCCAGGTGAACATTTTAATACTTATCATTTGATTACCCAGTGTGG